CCAATTGTCCAAGTCGTACAGGTTGGAGTGCGGAGTAAGGCAAGGTGGGCTGTCGTCTCCAAAGCTGTTCAACCTGTACGTAAATGACCTCATAGTGGAGCTCAGCAGCATGCGAGTTGGATGCAAAGTGAGTGGTGTTAGTGTAAACAATATTAGTTACGCGGATGACATGGTGCTGCTGGGCCCCACTACGAGTGCTATCAGAGAAATGTTGAATGTATGTAAGAGCTATGCTAAGTCTCATGGTCTGGCCTACAATGCCAGAAAAACCGAATTTATGATCTTTAAGGCCGCCGGTAAGTGTCCCGAATTTATACCTCCAATTTGCCTCGGTGGAGTGGAGCTGAACAGTTTTCCAATTTAAGTACCTGGGCCACATACTTACCGACGACCTTAGAGACGATTTAGACATAGAACGAGAGCGTAGGGCTTTGGCGGTCCGTGGTAACATGCTGGTCCGTAGATTCGCTCGTTGTACGGATGAAGTCAAGATTACGCTTTTTAAAGCATTTTGTCAAAACATGTACACGAGCGGTCTGTGGATCAGCTACACCAAAGGATCGTTAAACACCCTTCGCGTCCAGTATAATAATATCTTCAGGATGATGTTGAAACTTCCTCGTTTCTGTAGTGCATCTGAAATGTTTGCGCAGGCGAGAACGGATGGTTTTCAGGCACTCATGCGCAAGAAAGTGGCGTCACTAATAAGCCGCTTACGGGTAAGTGACAACAGCATCCTGTGGATGGTAGCAGATGATCCACATGCACCTATATTAAGGAGCTATGTGCGGACAATGTCCGGATTCGTAACTTATTTAAATTAAATTATTATTATTATATAGTACTACTAACCCCCTTACTATTGGAATTAATTACTAACCCTTATGGACCTATGTTGTCTGAAAATAAAAAGATTTGTATTTGTATTAAATAAAATAAAATATTGTTCGAGTTTTTAAAAAAAAGTTATTTCTATACGTTTGAATAATGATCCTGATAACGTAGTTACGGGAACCACAGGGTTTTTGTTACATATTGTATATTAGAGAATTACTAGATTAAAAAAGTATTCTGAAATAATTAATTTTGTTCATGTGTCAAAATTAAAACCAATAAATTTTCAAGCAAAATAAATATATTATCTATGCAAATAAATAAAATTGAAGTGTCTGTTTGTAATGTCAAAATTACAGCTTTTTACTCAATGCATATGAAAATATATACAGTAATTATAACAAAAACACATTTTATTTTTTATTTTATTGATAGAACCACCAACGGAATAACATGTTGTTTTAAAAAAAATGTGACAATAGGCTTAGGAACTAAGATTTACATGTTTCCATTTAAAGGTAGTTACAGCATGTTTAAGAAAGACGATAACTGTACGATAACTTAATAATTGTTACAAGTACGAGTAAAATACTAATATAAAACAAACAAACACAATAAGGACAATACGAAATATATGAAAATTAAAAATATATAAAAATAACAACATTTATATCGAGTTTATATAAAGTTATGGTATAATTTTTACTATGAGTTATTAAATAGATTGACAATTTTGGCTCTAAAAGATTTTATACTATCGCTAAATAAGTCAATAGTCTTATCTTTAAGGACACATTCGTTATACAATCTGCTTATTCTCGGTATAAGAGAGTGATGACCAAGATTAGTTATATACAATTTGTGTTTGAGTAAGGGAATCGAAAAACGCGGTACACGGCAGGGAACTTTTAACAATATTTGTGATAGTAATTCTGCAGAATCTATGGTCCCATTTGTAAGCTTGTACAAAAAAACTCAATCATGTAGTTTACGTCTGTCCGAAAGTGAGTTTAATTTTAGTTTTAGGAGACGAGTGGAATAGGATTCCATATGATTACCACTAGAACAATATTGAGTGAATCGTCTTTGAATGCTTCCTATACGATCTTTGTGTATTTGATAATTAGGGCTCCATATGATGGTACCGTACTCTAATTTACTTCTAACTAAGGAAGTGTAAAGAAGATTTTTTGTTTTGATTTTTTTAAAACATTTTGAATTTCTGTATAAAAACCCGAGCATTTTGCGTGCCGATCTACAAATATTTTCAATGTGAATATTAAATCTTAATTTAGCATCAATTGTAATTCCTAAGTCTCGGATGGATTCAAGCTTCTGAAGTGGATTATTGTTCAACGTGTATTGGGTTTCTGATGCAGTATGCTTACGCGTAAAGTTGATATATGAACATTTAGAAGCGTTGAGATCCATGCCATTTAACTTGCTCCAACGAGCAATTCTATCGACATCTTCTTGTAGAGATTGTGCATCGTGATCGTTAAGAATTGCTTTTGCGAGTTTCAGATCGTCCGCAAAGATGAAACATTTTGAATTATGTACACAATTAGTTACATCATTTACGAAAATATTAAATAACTAGCTGTTCCCCGCGACTTCGTTCGCGTGTTAGGGTTTTTATGTTTCTGCGCGGAACCCTGATTCTTTTTCTAAAATAAAAGTAGCCTAAGTTACTCCTTATGAAATCAGCTATCTGCCAGTGAAAATCCCGTCAAAATCGGTCCAGCCGTTTCGGAGATTACCCGGAACAAACAGACAGACAGACAGACAGACAAAAATTTTAATAATTGTATTTTAGTTATAGGTATCGTATTTACTTTCATATGCATTTAGTAAAAAACTGTAATTTTGACATTACAAACAGACACTTCAATTTTATTTATTTGTATAGATAAGGGTGCTAATATGGATCCCTGAGGTACTCCCGAGGTGCACCCATATTTCTGAGAAAAGTGGCCTCTGATCACTACGTATGAAAATCTGTCTTTTAAATATGAAGCAAACCACGAAAGTAGTGGCCCTCCGATTCCGAACGATGATAGTTTCGCTATTAACAACTGGTGATTCACCCTGTCGAAGGCTTTGGAGAAATCGGTGTAGATAGCATCTACTTGAAAACGTGAGTCGACGTAGGGTGTTATATAATTCAAAAAACATGAAAGGTTTGTGACAGTAGATCGAGATGTCATAAATCCGTGTTGGGTGTCTGAGATAGCGTGGCGAACATGGCGTGACAATATAGGCGAGATCAAGGACTCGAAGATCTTAGAGACAACCGATAATATTGATATGGGTCTGTAGTTGGCAATATTATCTCGATTCCCTTTTTTTGTACACAGGCACTATTCTTGCAAGTTTCCACATATCTGGGAAGACCCCGGTACTGAGGGATGTATTAAAGATAATACAGATAGGCAAAGACAACTCTTTAGCACACTTCTTAATAAACGATGAAGGAAGATCGTCGGGTCCAGCACCTTTCTTTGCGTCGTCTTTTTATTTTTTTTATTACTTCCTTAACATTGATGTTTATTAAACAGAGATTGTTTTCGGTAACTATTTGTAGGGGAATGTTTCTGCAGGGTAGGTCTCGCCTCTCGTATACGGAAGCAAAGGATTCCGCAAAGAGATTGCACACTCCTGGGCCATCGGTAGCAACTTTATTGTTAAGTACCATTCTGGCTAGGTACGTGTTTGATGGTTTTTTACGTTTTTTAAGTGTGTCCAAAAATATTTAGGATTATTTTGTAGGTTACTTTCAACGCATTCAATATAATTACTATAACTTGCTTTAATTAATTTAATACAGCTAGACCTTAGTGATTTAAATTTGAGTATGTCTAGAGGGTTATTGTAAATTCTAATTTTTACTCGATATTTAATTTTCAACATAGAAATTAATTTATTATTATACCATAAAGGAAACTTTGTACTTCTAGGCTTAGTCTTTGGCACGTGTTTCTCAATTATTGATTTTAATTTATGATAAAATTCATTAAGCATTGAGTTAACTGAATCGCAATTTAGTAAAAGTTCTGACCAATTTGTACCATCTAATTCATTCTTAATGGCCTCATAATCTGCTCTAAAGAAGTTGTACCTTTCATTGAGCTGTGCATTGATCGCATTAATCTTCAAGAAATCGAGCTTTAGGTTAAGTGACGGATGATGATTATCAATTATGCTTATTGGATTGAAGTTTTGACTAACTGTCACATGAATATGATTTGAAAGAACCAAATCAAGCAACCTGCCATTTGCGTTAAATATTGAATTGAATTGTTTTAAATTGTGTTCCTCGATAAAGTCAATAAAACTAGACGCTAAGTTAGAACTACTAAAGGGGTGTAGACAATTTAATTCCGGTACTTTCGACCAAGAAATACTACTAATATTAAAATCCCCCGTTAGCATGACATATTCATTTGTATTAATAGCTTTGGACGCATTTTCTAAGAATTCACTTAGCACATTGCTATTCATCGGAGGTGGCAAATATACAACGCAGATTGCAACATGACTTGGTTTACCATCTACAATTGCATCAACCGTAATCCATAAATCTTCGCAGTTACTCTCCCAATGCAGGCAACGGCTTGATTTTAAGGTATTTTTAACTGCTATCATTACACCCCCCCCCCCATTTTTGATTCTTTTTGGCTCTAATTGTTCCCTGTCTCTCCTGTATACCGTATAGCGATCATCAATAAACTCACTATCGAACACGCCGTCATTAAGCCAAGTTTCTGTAAAAATTAAGATATCGAAATCATTACATAATATGTTAAGTTTTACATCCCGCGCTTTACTACGAATCCCCCTTACGTTTTGATAATATATATTTAATGTATCGTATTTTAACAGAATTTCGATAAGAGACTAGACAGATAAGTACTTTACTATTGTAATTCTTTGAGCTGCTCGATGTTACGCACGACAATATGTTCAGAATTATCGGTTTTTCTTAAAAAGACACGACCATTTTTAATCCAGACTAATTTGTATTTTAATTTCTTTGCTGTCGCTCTGGCATGGGCGTGGATTTTCTTCAGCTCCGGGGTCAAACGTTCGACTACAAATATAGGTTTTTTGTCACCACCTATCCCGATGTGGCTTGTATTTAGTTTTTCATTTGTGTTTCTTTTATTGAAATTTATTACTCCGGCTAAGAATGTATCACGAACCCGTGGACAAGCAAACTTCACAATAATAGACCGCGGTCGTGCATTTTCTGGATTAATCTTGGCGATTCTTGTACATTTATGGATTTCAGCGTCGGATATTTTATTTACCAGTAATCTTCCCTATTTGTGTAATAATATTAGGTATATTTTCGGCCCTATGTTCCGGAACACATTGTATCTCTAGGTTGCTCATTCTTGAATGCTGCTCCATTATGCTTAAGCGACTATTGAGGTCTTTTACTGTTGATTTAAGGCAATCATTTTCTTCTTTTAGATGTTTTACATCTTTAAATTTTACTTGCATATCCTTTTTTAAATCTTCGTATTGGTTAGTAATGAAAAGAACAGATTCCTTTAGATCAGTGATTTCCTTGGTTAGTCCCTTTATTTTATTTTCTATAATTTTGCTGATATTGCTTTCAATTTTGTTTATAAATGCATTCATCTCATCATGAATTATGTGCTTTATACTCTCAAGAGTGAGAGGTTCCTGACTTTGAGTTAAGTGCGTAGGTTGTGTGCGTCTTATTGTGATGTTACTGCTCGTATCTCGAGGTGAGATTCCAGAGCTGCGAACAGGCGTATCAGAATTATCACATTTTCGTTGCTTTGCTCGGCAAGTCGGGCAAACCCAATTGTTTTTAAAATCAGTAGAAAGTTCTTTATATTTTTTGCTGCTGGTGTTTATACAATCGTAATGATATTTAACACTGCATGTAATACATTTAAGCTGCTCTTGCGTGATATGTTCTTCAGAGCACGCGCCACATTTTTTGTTTCTCAAGGTTTTTGTACTCATCTTTGCGGAACAGGTGTGGTAAAGTTAGCAAAAAGTTAATACGGTGAATTGCTATAGTTTATTTTACAGGCGCTTACATGCAATTGAATGTGGTGTGACGTAGATGCGGGGCGATCGCGGGTTGCCCTAGGTCAGGGAGTATTTGATTTACCGATGTTTTGTAAATACAAAATGCAATTACTCACGAACCCCTGCACCGATTTCGACGATCCAAACACTTATCACTTCTTTATAATGAGGACTATATTATGTACAAAAATTGTCAAATTACGTAAAGTTTAACTATACATTTAGATTAAAAAGTCACGGATCAGCTGATAGACACTGTTATCGTACAACGCGCGCGGGTAGATTACACATTTAAAAAATATTGTCTGTCTGTCTGTTTGTTCCAGTTAATCTCCGAAACGGCTGGATTGATTTTGAAGGGACTTTCACTGGCAGATAGCTGATGTCATAAGGAGTAATTTAGACTACTTTTACTTTAGAAAAAGAATTAGGGATCCACACCAAATAATTAAAACCCTAACGCTTTCACGCGGGTGAAGTCGCGGGGAACAGCTAGTAATATATACATTTTCTGTGGCTAAACTACTAAATATATTTGAATAATTTTTGTGTTTGCTAATGCTAAATGGAGTTGCTGGATCATTTATTGTATTTAATATAGTGCCATCCTCTATGTGTATACAAATAAATATTTGGGTATGAAATTGTATGTATAGGAATATATTATTTATTCATAAAATATTTATGGTAGATTATCTTTTTTCAAAGTTTTTTTTAATTATTACACCAACATCTAATTCTAACAACTCCATAAGGGTTGACTGGTAGAAAATTCATATAGGCAACATTAAGTCCATTAAGATGATAAAAAATATGATTTTCTTAAACTTAATTTGTTGAGACTTATTGTGAGAGATATGTAACTTTTTAACAGAATTATACAAAGAAGAAGAGGAATCTGACTGGCTTACAATATTAACTGATGACTTTCAGAACTTAAATGGATGGAAGACTCAGAATAATTTATTCTGAAACACTCTGCAAATATTATATTTCCTTCCAAAGAATCAATTACTCTCTTAGAAGCTGTCTCTTTTGCGGAATCATATAAGTTCAACAAATTCTTAATTCATATTACAGTCTCAAAGTTGTTTGGAAGACATACTTAAATTCCTTCTGCATCACAAAGATAATTTTGACATATTCCCATAAGACATATTTTTGGTTGGGAGAAAGAAGGACTATCCTTTTGTCAGGACTAATAATGTACAGCAAAATCTCACTTGATTGAAGTTTAGAATGCCATTCAGCAATCAACAAGACATAAGAAATTAAATTTATTTCAAAATATTCAACCTAACATAAGTAGTAAAATTAAAAATTTTGTACAACCGACTTGAAAAATCATCGAAATCAATTCACCTCGAAAAAAGTTATGAGGTAACACACATAAAAAACATACAGTCAAATTAACCAATCAAGCCACGACATTAACCACCATCAACTTAGTCAAACCTATGGTCAAGCCAAACAGTATAGTAGGTCAGTCCAAAAAACTTTTTTTAAATGAAGTCTTAAATAAGAGTCTATGTTCTTATCCAAAAATAAAAAATTATCAACAATTAAAATATCGCATTATTTGTATGAAGGTCAAGCACTAGAGAAACAACAATTGCAAGATGTTGCCCATAAATAAAATGTTTTGAGAAGTTATCAATAATCGTGTATTAGCGGTATATGTATATCCATACAATCCTGTGGGTCTCGTAAGAGGGGACTAGACTTGGGGTTCATCATCATCATTCATCATTACAGCCCCTCACAAGTCCACTGCTGAACATAGGCCTCCCCCAAAGAATGCCACAAAGCACGGTCCTGAGCCACCTGCATCCATCGACTTCCTGCATGTCTTACCAGGTCGTCACTCCATCTCGTGGGGGGACGCCCTACACTTCGCCTACCGGTACGAGGCTGCCACTCGAGAACCTTTCTTCCCCATCGGTTGTCAGTTCTTTGAGCTATATGGCCGGCCCACTGCCACTTCAGCTTACTAATTCGTTGGGCTATGTCGGTTATTCTGGTTCTACTGCGGATATCCTCATTCCTAAGTTTATCACGCAGAGAAACTCCGAGCATAGCCCTCTCCATAGCTCGCTGAGCGACCTTGAGCTTCCTCATACGGCCAGCAGTGAAGGACCACGTCTCAGTTCCGTAAGTCATCACTGGCAACACGCACTGGTTGTACAATTTCGTTTTAAGGTTTTGAGGTATGTCTGACGAGAAGATGTGTCGTAGCTTCCCGAACGCTGCCCAGCCGAGTTGAATCCGTCGATTGACCTCTCGGTCGAAGTTGGACTTACCTAGTCGGACTATTTGTCCCAGGTAAACATACTCGTCAACAACTTCGAGCTTAGTGCTCCCAACAACTACCGGCATAGGTGTGACATGGACATTAAACATAATCTTTGTTTTGTCCATGTTCATCTTAAGACCTATCCGTTGGGAAACACTATTGAGGTCATTGAGCATAGTGCTTAGGCCCTCCAGCGATTCTGCCATAAGGACTATATCGTCGGCAAATCGAAGGTGAGTGATGTACTCGCCATTGATGTTGATACCGTACCCTTTCCAGTCCAGAAGCTTGAAAACGTCTTCCAATGCAGCGGTGAAGAGTTTCGGGGATATGACGTCACCCTGTCTTACACCTCTCTGCAATTGGATAGGTTTCGTACTCTGGTTCTGTACTCAGATAGCCATCGTAGCCCTACTGTACAAGCACTTCAACACTTCGATATACCGACAGTCAACTTGGCACCGCTGAAGGGACTGCAGCACCGCCCAAATTTCGACGGAATCAAAGGCTTTCTCATAGTCCACATACGCCAGACATAGTGACAAATTGTACTCTTCGGACTTCTGTACAACTTGCCGAAGGGTATGTATGTGGTCTATGGTGCTAAAGCCCTTTCGGAAACCGGCTTGTTCGGGAGGCTGGAAGTCGTCAAGTCTGCGCGCGAGACGATTCGTAATGACTCTCGAAAACAGCACGTAGACGCGGCTCAGAAGGGAAATCGGTCTGTAGTTCTTCAAGAGAGCGTTGTCACCTTTCTTGAAGAACAAGACCACCGCACTTCTGCTCCACGCCTCCGGTGTAATGCCACCATGGAGGACGGAATTAAAGAGCTTCTGAAGGACTTCAAGTACCGGTCTTCCACCCGCTTTCAGAAGCTCCGCTGTAATTCCATCCTCGCCTGGGGCCTTACCGTTCGGATGAGACTCGCTCTTGGATCGTTACTCACACTTGCGTGTGGCTCCAACGATGACGTGTACAGCTGCCCATAGAACCTCTCAATCTCACTCAAAATCTCAGGTGTCCCGGAAATGATGCTGCCACATTCTGTCCTCAGCTTTGACAGTTTGCTCTTTCTGGCAGACAGATCTCTGGCAAAGACTTTGGAGCCTTGGTTCCGCTCGATCGCTTCTTCAATACGAGCTGTATTGAAGTTGCGTAAGTCCCGCCGCATGCATTTTGAGATCTGTCTGTTCAGATGCCTGTATGCTGTCAAGTCTGTTGAAGAATGTAGCCTCATCTACAGACTTGGGGTTATTTTTAAATAACTGTGACCGTCGTTTTGGCTACCAAAAATGACTTTGTCACGTTGATAAAGTTGGATAACTACTTGAAACATTAGAACGACTTATAACGTGACTTTATATATGCATTTTAGATTTAGTATTAGATTTTATTTCAGTAGTCGATTTTTTACTACCTTCCTTACCTAAGCTACATGGCTATGTTATAAGTTGTATGTTATAAATTATTTACAACATCTTAATCAGTTTTTCTTTTTGTATTTCTCAAAAAAATGTTTTTTTGCTACCCAAAATTTTAGGGCTTAAAATAAATTGAGTATACTTAAATATTTACGATCTACAGCACATAATGTTTACAAATTATTCTTTACAACCATACTAGATTTTAAATGAAAACCAATTTGTCCTTTACTACCTAATACATCTTTGGAGAAACTAGAATTATGCTTTCATTCATTCATTCATTACAGCCCTTCACAAGTCCACTGCTGAACATAGGCCTCCCCCAAAGAATTTCTCCCCAAAAGAATTATGCTTTACTACCTAGAAATATGAAGATTTATCTTATACGCCTTCTATCTGGAAACTAAATTGAACTTTACCACTAGTAACAACAGCAAACAGATAATCGAATAAATACAACTCAACCAAAATTATTACTTATCTAGTTTCCACAAAGGACGAATCCAGACGACCGACAACCTAGACACGAGCGCTAGACAGAGACAGAGCTATGTGGAAAGTTTTTTTTTATTTTGATTATCTTCATCGTGAGTTTCTCTTATACCTGCCTGCGCCTCTCACCCCAGCTGATTAAATGGCCATATTTTTAAAAATATTTTTATGACTCTAAAGTGTAAAAATAGAAAAATAATTTATTAAACCCCATAATTTTTAACTGTGAAAACTTTTTGTACTTTTTATGATTGTATTCGTTTGGTTGAAGCTTCAAGAAAATAAATGAACTTAAAAGAAAAAAGTTTTATTTTTATTTAGAATTTAATACGAAATTCTGGGTGATTATTGAAAAACCTTTAAAGTCCTTTTATCTCAACACCTGTTCATTTTCGGCCATATATATGGTGGGTCAAATTTGTAGCATTTTAACTCCCCTATCATGCCCTGCCCGGAAGTTGTCAAGTTCCCAGTAACCCTGCATAATATGCTTTTTAACGGGGAGTAAATTCATTACATTTTTGTTAATAAACATTGTTTCATAAATTCGTACCTATGTTTTATTGAGCTAACACATACATTATAATTATCGCTTACCTTATATTTACAAGTACTTACATAATCAAATTAATAACTTAAGTACCTTTTTCTTTCAGAAGTCGTAGAAAACAATCAGTGTGGTTTTTTCTTACCATATATCCCATGATAAAAATTTGTTTATTGCTATACACAATGGTATGAGTCATGAGCACAGCCTTGACATACTCAATATTCAATTTTTAAGTATATTTAGTGATGTACAAGGGTACGGGATGGGAACAATGAACATTCTTTTATGTGAACGGTCCATTATCCACGGTCCAACGGTCCAAATCTTTAGGACATTCATTGGGTATTCACATGACATTTGCCTACAGTATATTCACTGTAAAATGTACATGTGTGGTAAGCACACTTAGTGGTCACGACACATGTCGCTATTTATACAAACAAGTTTTGCAGAAAAATATGATTTTATAAAACTTACCTAAAGAAGAAGATGGCTCATTAGTTTTCTTTTCTGCCTCTTCTTTTAAAGTTGACACAGTATTATCGAGTGCAAAATTTTCAAGTTTGTACCTTTCCATTGGACCAGGCTTTATTTTTACACCCAAAACTATAAACAGTTGACTTTCTAACTGCTCCATTATTTTAACAAATTAACGATCCTGCAGGCCTGCAAGTGCAACATTTTATATTTTTTTGAAAATTGTTTAAAAAATCGACAATACAACAATACTCTATGTTGATCATGAAAGAATTATTTACAAAACATTTATTCCAATGATAACTGGGTATTAGAGAAAAATAAATCAATAAACAGATAAATTTAATTTGGCACACGTTTTTCATAAAATTTTTACACTTGTGCCTTGGAATATACAATGATTGTCTTCACTCTTCAGTGGTCTTTGTTTGTTGATACTACAGAACCAAAACAGAACATAGTGTACTCCGTTGTTATTTATTACAAGTACAAGTACTGAGCAATGAGTTAGTAATATCCAAATAATAACAAATAACAAAGAGATTATATTTAGACAAAGAGTTTACCTCAGAGTTATACTCAAGATTCAGAGAGTAGTAAGTACCGTCTCAGAAGAAGCGTATAAACGTAGTTCTTCTTCTTTCTTTTTTATGGCGCTTTTGATCATTCGCCAATGTCAGCGTACTTGAACGATGAACGTAGTTTTTCCTTGGAATTTAATTTTACTTCAATCTTTCCTTATTATATTACTATACTCTGCTTCAATCGTCATTTTCAGTATATAAAAAGTACTCTGTGATCGTCATCGTCATTTGTCAAAGCACGTCAGAGAATATTAGTGTTCTGTGCAGAGAACATTAATCAAAGAGTATAGTAAGTAGTAACCACAGAGTATAGTAATTGTCCTATACAGGAAAAGAGAGCCCACTCGTGCGAAATCTGTCTCTGTCTAGCGCTCGTGTCTAGGTTGTCGGTCGTCTGGATTCGTCCTTTGTGGAAATTGTATAACTAGATAAGTAATAATTTTGGTTGAGTTGTATTTATTCGATTATCTGTTTGCTGTTGTTACTAGTGGTAAAGTTCAATTTAGTTTCCAGATAGAAGGCGTATAAGATAAATCTTCATATTTCTAGGTAGTAAAGCATAATTCTTTTGGGGAGAAATTCTTTGGGGGAGGCCTATGTTCAGCAGTGGACTTGTGAAGGGCTGTAATGAATGAATGAATGAAAGCATAATTCTAGTTTCTCCAAAGATGTATTAGGTAGTAAAGGACAAATTGGTTTTCATTTAAAATCTAGTATGGTTGTAAAGAATAATTTGTAAACATTATGTGCTGTAGATCGTAAATATTTAAGTATACTCAATTTATACAACCTAGACGATTAGTTATCATGAATAATTTGTGATTTACAGCCATAATTCACATTAAAACTGCACTTTAAGCCCTAAAATTTTGGGTAGCAAAAAAACATTTTTTTGAGAAATACAAAAAGAAAAACTGATTAAGATGGTGTAAATAATTTATAACATACAACTTATAACATAGCCATGTAGCTTAGGTAAGGAAGGTAGTAAAAAATCGACTACTGAAATAAAATCTAATACTAAATCTAAAATGCATATATAAAGTCACGTTATAAGTCGTTCTAATGTTTCAAGTAGTTATCCAACTTTATCAACGTGACAAAGTCATTTTTGGTAGCCAAAACGACGGTCACAGTTATTTAAAAATAACCCCAAGTCTAGTCCCCTCTTACGAGACCCACAGGATTGTATGGATATACATATACCGCTAATACACGATTATTGATAACTTCTCAAAACATTTTATTTATGGGCAACGTCTTGCAATTGTTGTTTCTCTAGTGCTTGACCTTCATACAAATAATGCGATATTTTAATTGTTGATAATTTTTTATTTTTGGATAAGAACATAGACTCTTATTTAAGACTTCATTTAAAAAAAGTTTTTTGGACTGACCTACTATACTGTTTGGCTTGACCATAGGTTTGACTAAGTTGATGGTGGTTAATGTCGTGGCTTGATTGGTTAATTTGACTGTATGTTTTTTATGTGTGTTACCTCATAACTTTTTTCGAGGTGAACTGATTTCGATGATTCTTCAAGTCGGTTGTACAAAATTTTTAATTTTACTACTTATGTTAGGTTGAATATTTTGAAATAAATTTAATTTCTTATGTCTTGTTGATTGCTGAATGGCATTCTAAACTTCAATCAAGTGAGATTTTGCTGTACATTATTAGTCCTGACAAAAGGATAGTCCTTCTTTCTCCCAACCAAAAATATGTCTTATGGGAATATGTCAAAATTATCTTTGTGATGCAGAAGGAATTTAAGTATGTCTTCCAAACAACTTTGAGACTGTAATATGAATTAAGAATTTGTTGAACTTATATGATTCCGCAAAAGAGACAGCTTCTAAGAGAGTAATTGATTCTTTGGAAGGAAATATAATATTTGCAGAGTGTTTCAGAATAAATTATTCTGAGTCTTCCATCCATTTAAGTTCTGAAAGTCATCAGTTAATATTGTAAGCCAGTCAGATTCCTCTTCTTCTTTGTATAATTCTGTTAAAAAGTTACATATCTCTCACAATAAGTCTCAACAAATTAAGTTTAAGAAAATCATATTTTTTATCATCTTAATGGACTTAATGTTGCCTATATGAATTTTCTACCAGTCAACCCTTATGGAGTTGTTAGAATTAGATGTTGGTGTAATAATTAAAAAAACTTTGAAAAAAGATAATCTACCATAAATATTTTATGAATAAATAATATATTCCTATACATACAATTTCATACCCAAATATTTATTTGTATACACTATATTCCATATTGTATTTTAATTAAGCTTATTATTAAGTAACACGTAAACAAACCACTAAAACTCTTTAATGTATGAAATTTATGACTTCAAATGTCAAACAATTAAATACTAATGTAATTTTATATGGAGAGAAACTGAGTCTTGTAGATACCATCATTTTTCTTGGAATCACATTAGATGCCAAGCTTCAATGGATCCCTCATATATCAAAATAAGCAAGCAGACTTATCTCTGCAGCATATGCTGTAAAAAAGTTTAGAAGTCTTACCAGTGTTGAAACAGCTAGACTAGTTTACTTTAGCTATTTTCATAGCGTAATGTCGTATGGTATTTTGCTATGGGGACACGCAGCTGACACTGAAATTATATTTGTTTTACAGAAGAAGGCCATAAGAGCAATTTATGATTTAAAGCCTAAAGAGTCGCTGCGACAAAAATTTAAGGAAGTTAATATATTGACTTTGGCCTCTCAATATATTTATGAAAATGTAATGTACTGTACGTACACAAAAATAAAAGTAGTTTTAAAAAAATAAATGATATTCATTCTGTAAATTTTAGGAACAGACACAAGCTAGTAGTACCAGTTACTCGACTCCATCTTGTCAGTAATTCATTCTTGGGGCGATGTATACGCTTTTACAACAAAATTGTAGAAAATATACAAAATTTGACCTGCTCAAAGTTCAAAAACTTTATTAATCTAAGTTTGTATAAAAAGGGTTATTATAATATTAAAGAGTTTATGGATGATAATAACCCCTGGAAATGAGGAGATCGCTACCAAGCTATTTCTAATTTGTTGTGTTGTTAATTTGTGTAACATACATGATTGTAAGCTGTTATTTAAAAAATTCCCGCAAGGATTCTTGCTGGTCCTTCCCAGGACAGAGGTTTTTTTTTCGAACCAGTGGTAATTAAACAAAAGAGTGACTTTCAATAAGTATTATTTATGATCTATATTGAATAAAAAAGTTTCTGTTTCTGTTACACGAATGTTCTTTCCCTAAAAACTAAGAGGTGCATTTTACGCTATAGATGACAACACTATTTTAAAAATTTGACGTTGTCAAATGGATGAATATATTGTTTTTTTTAAGAATAGGGTGACAAACGAGCACACAGTCCACCGGATGGTAAGTGGTTGCTGTGGCTCATAGACATCTACATCTATCCTCGTTTGCAAATCAAAATGCAGATGCGTTGTACACGCGTGAGGACTAAGATGGAATGCCTCTTTTCCAGTGAAAAGGGTCTCCGGTTCTCTACACTCACCATACGAAATACATCAGTGTTGAGCTGCTATTTTACGCTGTTATTCTGTGAGTGCGTGGTCCTTCCTCGGTCGAGCCGACCTATTTGTGCTACAACTATACTACTTATATAGCTGCAGCATGGCTCTACCACGTAGGAAACGCCTTGTGCTAATCATTCGCTAAATCTATGTGGAGTGCACTCACTTAGGGAGCTTTAATTCAAGTTTAACTTTTTTCGGAACAGTAGAAAGAGTTTACAGGTTCTTTTCATCATCCACAGGTCAATGGGAAACTTTAATGAAAAGTGTAGGCGTATCCGTCAAAAGACTCTCAGAGATAAGATGGATTACTCATCATGACGCTGTTAAACCACTGCAGAATAATTTCTAAAACTAGTAATAAACACTCGAACATATATATGATCCCAGCACCAACAGAGAAAACGTCGATACAAGAGAAGCAGCACCTACACTCTTACCAGCTTTATGTGACTTCAGTTTGTTATGCTATCTTTCTTTTTGGTGTAAAATCCTAAAAGAAGTTAGTCAGACACAAAAGTAAATACTAAATAATAAAATAATAATCTAGATTATCACTGGAAAAGTATGTGATAAAAATCAAAGTCCAAAAATTTTTCTTCAAAGCCAACGTATTCAACTAGTAGATAAAGGCTATTTCCTACGTAACAAAATATGTGAGAAAGTGGACATTTACATTGAAGGAAGAAGAGGAATGAGGAGATATCGAAAACGTTTACCAGGAGAAATGACCCGACATTTCTTCCCAATAAGCGGTTCAATTTAATTCATTGGATCTTTTCTCGTAAAATTGGGCTATTCTGAATCTGTTCCGAATCTAGCGCTGTGTCTAAGATTTTTTTACTATTAAGTTTCATGTGAAGGAAACTTTTCAAAACTCAAGTTAATAAAATCTTACTCAAGGTCCACAATGAGAAAAGCGCAACTAAACAATCTTTTAATTTTATCTATCGAAAATAACAAGTAAACTTTGATAATATGTTAGAATATTTTAGAAAAATAAAGTCCCGTTAGCATGTATAGAATTTTTGTTTTATTTTGGGTGGTGCTTGATAGAAAACTGCCCTGGGTGTCAATCCACGCTATGCCGCCACTAGTTACCGTAAGGTTTAATACTGTAGCGAAGCAATAATGTAATCAAAATATTAAACGGAGTTTAATTATAACACTATTCAGCACTTTCCATATTGAAAAAAAAATCGTTTTCGTGATGCTCTATACACTAATAATACCCTGAAAATATTGTATCATGGACACTATTAGAAAGAAATGCAACGCTTAACTCGGTGCCTTTCATTCATTTCAAGGTCACTGATTTAGGAACATTTCTCTAGTATGAAGTGCGCACTCCCTATATTTTACAACCTCTTTGTTATTAGTTACGTTTGATATATCGGTCTCATGGTTTGTACGAAGTATAAAATAGTAAAATAATTTTATACATGTATTTCCAATTTCCATGGTCTCATGCCTATTATCTATGAATATTCGGTTAGAATCTACTAGTTAGTCTGTGCTATGAATCTACTATGACTAGCTTGCTACATATTTATTTGTCTATGGAATCTACGATTATGATGGTGAAATGAGTACTTTAAACAATAATGTTGTCATTTTTAAGTATATACTTAAAAGAAGGACTCAAGTTTTAAAGTCTGTAGAAGTATTTTTAAAAACGACTTCTTGATAGGCTTGTAAGTATATAATGACTCCAAAATGAAGAACGGATTGGATGAACAATTGGAGGCCAAAATAGCCGACCGTAATGAACGTGCTAAAAAAATTTATCGGTATGTAAATGCTATCAGTTCTTTTGAAATTTAATCAAAATTGCATTATTTTGTCATTTGGAACTGTTTCTTTTTAATGTTAGCCTATAACTTAATTTTTTTGTAAATGTCATCACACCATATGATTTAGTATACCATAAAAGTATCCAAAGGAAAGAATTCTCTAACTTCATTGTAATATGATACATATTTCATCGTTTTGCAGGCATGTTACTGACGTTTCGAGACGTATTGGAGAGGCAACTACCTCATGCCATAGTGTTTCAGATCTCTTTACTACGAATATTGAAATACAAAGGCAAAAGCTTCGTGAAAACTGTGAAAAGCTATTCTTTCTTGATCCCCTAAACTATGCAAAGAAATCTTTAGAACTTCTTTGGCGTAAAGTTTATTATGAAACAGTATGTGCAGCAAAAAAGTTCCGTGAATCTAATAATGAATTTGATGGTTATTTGTTTACTCATATTATGAGTGGAATTGGTAATTTTCATCATTTTATAACCAGGATAGAGTCTGAAATGAGAGTAAAGATAAAAGATCTAGACTATATGCCTTTAGATGTTGATGCAGAGAATGTTGAAACAAATCAGACATTGAATGACGATGAGTTGCAGCTTGCTAGATCATTACTGTTTTCTTGCTTAATTTACCTTGGTGACTTAAGCCGCTATCAAGTGGAAATTTTTAATATATTTGATCAATCAATAGCTGCCCGTTATTATCTACAAGCTGCTCAGGTGGATTTGTGTTCAGGTATGCCTTACAATCAATTGGGTAATTTGTTTTTAGACAAGAATTACAACCTAGACTCTGTATGCTATTATATTCATTGCTTGAGTACAGTAGCACCTTTTGAGGGAGCTATGGGCAATCTGATAAAAATTTTTGAAAAAAATAACCAATTTCTTGAAACACTTGGTGATTCAGAATCATGCACCCAAACTGAACATATTCAAAATACAATAGCAGAGTTCCTTTCGTTAACTGAAATATGGTATCTTGGTAAAGAAGATTCAAGCATTCCAAAGTTGTGTAGTAACATAGCTCAGAAACTAAAACTAGGAATTGACTTCAATATTAATCCTTTACCAGATATAAATAAAAATTATACTGAGTATTCACAAGCCATTGAAGAGGAACAAATTAATCCCTCTTATTTAAACTCTAATTTGATCCACAATATTGTAGAAATATGTCTTTTTACAAATGCAAAAATAATTGAGACAGATGAGCCTAAAGCCTTTGCTTGTAAAGCTTTTACTTTGGCATTTTTATCTCAGTTGCTACAAAAATTACACAAACATTTGGAATCACTTGGACTTAAAAGTCCAGCATATAAGTACAGACCAAGAACACAGTTGAGACAAATATCAGAAGAAAATAAAAATGAAAATGATGAACCAAAAACAACAGTTGATAATATAATTGTAAACGGATTAAAAATAAATGAACCATATAATGGGACTAGCCCAAAAGCCAAAGAATCTGATAATGAAGATTCTAAAGTAATTAATGGAGAAGCAAAAAATGCAAAAAAAATATTGACCAAGCGCAGAAGACGTCGTCGAATTATATCTTCAGAAAGCTCTGATGTAAGTGATGCGGATACTGAGAGTAGTGAAATTGAAAGTGATAAATCTGCATCAGATGATGATGAAATATCTGATTCTACTTATGAGTCAGAAGATAATTCCAAAAGTGAAGATTCACTGTATGAAGAAACAGATGAAGATGTTCATATTAATGGAAATAATGAAAATGATACATATAATCAAACAAAGGAGAGTAAGCTCACTAAAATAGAACAAGAACCTAAGACGAGTTTCGAAAAAAGCATTCATAATGAATCTCAAAGTAACAATGAAAACAAATTAGACATTGAAGGAATTCAAGCCTTTTTATTGGGTAATAATTTCTTACCAAGTATCAAATTGTTACAAGATTGGGTGCTGACAGAAAAGGACCTTATCATCTCTTGTGGTGAGAGTGGTGAATCTTTATTCCAGTGTGTTGTAGATTTACTTAACATTTTTTTATATTATTTCAATTCTAAAAGTGAAAAGCTTCCAAAAGAGGATTGTAAGGTTTTGGACTATGCAAAAATTGTTGTGAGGAAATTAAAACTTGAATACAAAACTATTCCATTGCCAGAAGATATCAATTTACGTGGCACTAATATATGCAAATTTGACAAGGATGCTGCAGAATGGCAAATATTACTGAAATACAAACCTTCCATTTATGAAGAAAATATAATCAGAATGTTAAACTTTATAGATTTTGGATACCAGATTGCTAAGATTGTACCTAGGATAAGATACAACAGAACCATGAAAATATTTTATTTAAAAAAACTCTTAGCTCCAAAGATTAGCACAAGGGTAAATCACAAAAGAAGCAGGGAATGGCACAACTCAAAAAAAACGGTATGTATTCTTTATGTTTATTAGAAGAAATATTATTATCATCAATTATTATACCTGATTATTACCTAATTATTAGACCTGTGAAGCGGACATAGTTCTAATAGAATAAAGCAGAAGGAAGCATTTGCAGTAAATTCTCTTAATTTAATTTATTTAATTTTCGTAATTTAGTAATGAGGCTAATTATAATAAAAAAAAATTGAATTTTAGTTGTATAATTCTTATAATTATAACATTTAAAAAAGAATTGTTCTGCAAAAAATATATTATTGACCTTGGCCTGATCATAAGTCTAAGTTGGCCCAATAGAATGTCAGGACCTGAAATGTCTTATGGTAAGCATGTGACCAAACCGTCCATCGATTTCTTTCCCTTTCCTCCTAACCTCCAGCTGTTTGGTCTCCTTTTCCGAGAGCATCTGTCTGGGTTTTTATTTATTTATCGTAGTATTATATTCATCTTAAATTATTTTTTCCAATTTTGTAAATTTACATATATACTTTATCAGAAACTGCCCTATTATAAGTACTCAACAGAAGCCATGCTCGTAAATAATCGTGCCAGACTCTTTTGGGGCTGGGCCATCATCACTGTCAGCACTATTCTTGTAAATAAGCCTGAAATCGTTTTTGTGGACCAGGCACCTTGCTTTCCTTTCCTCCCTAACCCTCGCCTTTGTTTTTAATCGTTTTATTTTTGCATTACATATTTTATACATAGTGTTATATTTGCTCCACAATCAACTTTTTATGTTTAGCAAAATCGAATAGCATAGGCAAACCCAACTCTAACTGTATAAAAATTATTTGTAAAAATATATATGTTTATAGTTCCAATGGTCTGGAAATAAATTATATGTGAAGTGTGGTTTTTGTTTTCAGATGGAATCTAGAGAGGGTGGATTACTTCGGCGTTTAGGGCGTCTGTGGTTAGCCTCACAAGTGAAAGAGTTAGAGCGTACTGGCCACACTCCAGTACCATCTCTTCTTGCTCTCGACACGGCTACACTGTATAAACATCTGAAAAGAGTGAAGCAACTGCTGAGAACACGTAACTTTATATTTTTAATTCCGACAGTAGGTAAGAACACTATTTATGATTCTTTAATTCATAATACCATACCATATTATGAGATATTGAATCAGCCTGAATTAATATTATTTATTTTATTCCATAGTATTGCAAGAACTTGATGAATTGAAACGGGAACGAAGCTCAGCTAGAGATGCAATACGCTGGCTTGAAATCCAACTGAAAAGTGGATCGCGATTTCTTAGGACGCAGCGTCCAGGACAGTCTAGACCTTTGCCCTTACTAAAATACCCGCGAAAGGCACCTCCACATGTACACAACTTTATTCAACTATTGGAGTTTTGCAACCATTTCATTGAAAACGAAAAACAAAACCAAGGTGGAAACGGAGATCCCGATAACTTGGTACAAAGCAAGACTGCACCATTATTGATACTGTTGGTAGGAAACGAACCAGGTAATGACGAAGAGCAATACAAAGAGTTTAGTTTGATGGGCGCCGCCCACTCTGCGGGTATTTCGGTCGAGTACATCGGCGACTTCTATATGAAGTGGCGCAAAACTGTTCATAAAAACGGGAAAAAAAGATGAACCTTTTGCATTTACTCTCCGGTCTCGATTGCAAGGAAGGGAATGAACGGTGAAGCCCTCCATACGATAAATCATCCGAATAAGATTGATAAAGGTTAAATAAATATGCGGACACCATCAATGTTCAGCGTCACATCGACCAATAGAACTGGAAAACATTGCTTCCTAGATGGGATATATTTTGTGGGTTATTTTAATATATCATCTATGGCCGCCTTAATTTTTATTATCATTTCATATTCAGTAATGTATTGGGTTATATATTTTATATCATTATTCATTTTTACTCCTGCGAATGTTAAATTCAAAATCATAACTTCAGTAAATTCATGTTTCATTTCTCATCATTCATTAAAATTATGTTCTTACGTGTTTCAATGTTTCATATTATTAAATATCTATGACTTCATAATTTTGTTTAATTTTCCTGGAGTTACAACAAAACTTGACACTAAGCATACACATACAAAAGCAGTTGATAAGGGGAGTTTGTACTATGATTAGACTAAAATGTGATACAAAAAAAACATTACATGAAAATATTAGTGGATTTTAAACTAGTAGCGATTTTAAACTAGTATTATAAAAATCTGCGATTGCCGCGTGGCAACTATGGCAAAATCCACTCAATGAGACTATGAGAGAGGGCTATGTTCTATGTACTTTTACGAGCTGTGATAGATAGATGCGAGTGGATAATGAGTACATACATAATGTGTGATTACACGTTACACAATGAGTAAATTTGCACACCGAAATCCTTCTAATAAGAGACTTAATAATTGTGTAAAGATCTTTGTGTTTCTGTACCTTATTAAATAAACGACCTTAACCTTACTTTATCCTTTATAGCCCATCACAATTCAACTGTTGAAGATAGGCCTTCCCCAAGGTATGGCATTCCTTGGGGGACATATAGTCCTGAGCCAACGGTATTTTTTTTATAGGATAGGGTTGACAAACGAGCACACAGTCCACCTGATGGTAAGTGGTTACTGTGACTCATAGACATCTACATCTATCCTCAATAAAGACTCCAGAGGCAGATGCGTTGTCACCCGTGAGGACTAAGATGGAATGCCTCTTTGCCAGTAAAAAGGGTCTCCGGTTCTCTACACTCACCATAGGAAACACAGCAGCATTAAGCTGCCATTTTACGCTGGTATTCTGTGAGAGCGTGGTCCACAGCGTCAAATGGCAGCTGTCCAACCTGATGGTGTCCCTCCCATTGTGCTGAAGACGTGTGCTCAGGAGTTGGCACCGGTTTTAACGCGTCTTTTCCGGTACTCCTACTCCCATGGCGTAGTCCCGAATTCATGGAAGACAGATTTGGTCAACCCGATCCCTAAAAAAGGTGACCGCTCAGACCCGTCCAACTACAGGCCTATCTCCATCACCTCCTTGTTCTCCAAAATAATGGAATCCATTATAAACTGCCTGCTCCTCCTCGAAGAAGGTACCTCATCCTTGAGGATCACCAGCTGATTAGTGACCGCCAGTACTGTTTTCGTCTGGGTTAATCAGCTGGTGATCTTCTGGTCTACCTGACTCATAGATGGGCGGAGGCAGTAGAGTCCAAGGGAGAGGCATTGGCCGTTAGATTGGACATAGCGAAGGCCTTCGATCAGGTCTGTCACAAAGCGCTTCTTTCGAAACTTCCTTTCCATGGGCTTCCCGAGAAATTGTGCAAATGGATCACCAGTTTCCTTGCTGATCGGAGCATCAAGGTAGTAGACGGTGCATGCTCTGATTTCAAGCCTATCAACGCTGGTGTTCCACAAGGCTGTGTGCTATCACCAACGCTGTTTCTCCTGCATAACAATGATATGTTGCAAGCTGGCAACATTCATTGCTATGTAGACGACAGCACTGGTGATGCCTTATATACCGGCCGTGCCAATACATAGGCTGCACTAAAAGTATCGGGAATGGAATATTTCCACTGTTCCTGTCATATTAAAATCTTTTTAATTGAAAAGTCCTTGGTTTTAAAAATCTAATACCATTTATTTATTTAAAAAAAGATTCTCGGTCTTGTCACAAGGTTTTGTCAAACTTGTTTAGTCATTGAGAAAATGGAATTGACTCGAGAAAATTCAAGAGCGATGATTTATTATGACTTTCGAAATGGTTTAACACAAAAACAGTGTGTTGACCGGATGATTTCTACATTTGGTGATGAAGCCCCATCCAAAACCACAATTTATCGCTGGTTTGCTGAATTTCAACGTGGACGTGTCAAGCTCAGTGATGATCCCCGTCAAGGTCGTCCAAAAACTGCAGTCACCCAAGAAAACGTTGATGCTGTGCGTAAGCTGATTGAGGAAGATCGACATGTGACATACCGCGAAATTCAGACAACTTTAGACATTGGCATGAGTTAAATACTCTTGCATGAACAATTAGGTGTAAAAAAGTTGTTTTCCCGATGGATACCGCATTCGCTCTGTGAAGAGCAAAAAGCGGCTCGCGTTACTTGGTGCTTCAGAACTCTCGAAAGATTCCACACAGGATCCTCAAATGCTGTATACAACATCGTATCAGGTGACGAATCCTGGATATACGCGTACGAACCCGAAACAAAAAACCAGTCACGAGTTTGGGTGTTCGAAAATGAGTTAAAGCCAACAAAAATGTTCGTTCACGGAGTTTTGCAAAAAAAATGGTGGCCACGTTTGTCTCCAAAACCGGCCATGTTACGACTATTCCTCTTGAGTGACAAAGAACGGTTAATGCAGAATGGTATGCTAGCATTTGTTTGCCACAGGTCGTTTCTGAACTCCGTAAAGAGAACTGCAACCACCGCATCATCCTCCATCACGACAATGCGGGTTCTCACACTACACACAGAACAAAAGAGTTTTTAGAGCAAGAAAACATAGAATTATTAGACCATCCGCCGAACAGCCCCGACCTAAGCCCTAATAATTTCTATACTTTCCCTAAAATAAAGAATAAATTGCATGGACACAGATTTTCATCACCTGAAGAAGCTGTGGACGCCTACAAAACGGCCATTTTGGAGACCCCAACTTCCGAATGGAATGGTTGCTTCAATGATTGGTTCCATCGTATGGAAAAATGTGTCAAATTTCGCGGAGAATACTTCGAAAAGCAATAAGTATCTACATTTTTAAATAGTAATGTTGTGTCACTTCCTTGATTCCCGAAATTTTCAGTGCCGCCCTCGTATTTCTCGGGAAAACTTCACCGAGTACCGGGACAAACTTGTGTCTGAAGTTGAGTCTTTGCTGAACAAAGTCTCGGATTGGGGGCGACTAAATCTAGTCCAGTTCAATCCCCAAAAGACACAAGTTTGCGCGTTTACCACTAAAAATAACCCCTTTGTCGTATTTCCTCAGTTTCAAGTCACTCCCCTTGCTGCCTCAGCTAGCATCGGAATCCTCGGCGTCGACATATCGAATAGTGTGCAGTTTCGTGGTCACTTGAAAGAGAAGGCCAAATTGGCCTCTAAAAATCTTGGCGTGCTCGGCAGAGCGAGACAGTATTTCATGCCGGCACATCACTTGTAACTTTACAAAGCGCAAGTTCGGACTTACATGGAATACTGTTCTCATCTCTGGGCCGGGGCACCCCAGTGCCAAATCCTTCCACTTGACCGCACCCAGCGCAGAGCGGGTCGAATCGTCGACGACCGAGTTCTTTCTGATCGGCTCGATACACTGGCACTGCATAGGGATGTTGCATCCCTTTGCATTTTTTATCGAATTTGAACGGGGAGTGATCCAAGGAATTGTTCGGATTAATTCCAGCCGCCAAATTTCACGAACGCACATCGCGGCAGAACTCCCGATACCATCCACACCATCTGGATGATTGGCGGTCCACCACTGTGCGATTTAGAAGATGTTTTCTTCCTCGCACAACTTCCTTGTGGAATTGTTCACCACCGGCGATTTTTCCGGACCGATACGACTTAGGGACCTTCAAGAAAAGAGCTTACACCTTTCTAAAAGCCCGGCAACGCATCTGCAATTCCCCTGGTGTTGCGGTTGTTCATGGGCGGCGGTAGTCACTTACCATCAGGTGAGCCGCATGTTCGTTTGCTCCCTATTCTATAAAAAAAGGGTCATAGCATCCAGATACCATCAGGTGGACTGTGTACTAGTTTGTCAGCCTTAATTTATAAAATAAAAAAGTAAAATATCTCATCCATTTTATTTTATTATGTTACAACTGGTCCGGCAGACGGTGTTTTGCCCTTTCCATTGGTGGTGCACTAGTTTTTACAGTAAACATAAATTTTTTTGATAATGCGATTACAGCACCCCCTGACCCAACATAATATAATATTATGAATGCAAGTAATTTTGTCTAAAGATATAGACATTGCTACCTATCGAAGTCTATCATAGCTATGAACCATCGTGTGAATATGATATCAATCAGTCAAGTTGCTCAGAAGTTACACGAGCACCAACGATAGTTCTATGTTTTGTAAAGACTAGGCGATGCAAATAAAAAAAATGTGTAATAAAAATACGAGTAAGTTACTAAGTAGAAAATAAAACCAGTGATTGTATCTGATTGAAGTTTATACGGGATAACTATGAAAGCTTGGCATGTAAGTAAAATATTAGCTAAATCCTAAAACACATTTTTTTAAGATATCTTAATAGAATGGTTATGGCCAAAAGTCGAAGTGCTGATACAAAAAGGGTTAGCCAACTACATCTAGGTGCGGCTGATAGCGGTTAACCTTAGGTGTATCGTACTACTACCTACCTACTTACCTACTGCTAGTGGATATTCTCGCGCCGTCACTACACGGTCAGGTTACACCCAATGGCGTAGCGTGCCTTAGCCGGGCCCTATATCAAAATTTATTGGGGGGCCCAAATGAAGGGTAAAGATTTTTCACAAAAGGAACAAAAACGCTCGCATTGATTTAAATAATTATATATTGAGTATGTCTTACAAGGTCGTCACTCCATCTAGTTGGGGGACGCCCTACACTACGCCTGCCGGTACGAAGCTGC